ACTCTGCAAATATTTATAAAAATAATATAAAGTGAGCACTGTATACTTTGTATGCTGCATTGCAAATGAAACCAATATATTTGAAAATGCAGTAAAACATCCAAAATACTTAATGAATTTCAATTGGTATTCTATTATTGTTTAACATCGTGATTAAACTTTAATTAATTGTAATTAATTTTTAAAATCACAATTAATTGTTTTGAGTTTGCTCATGTGAGTTTAACTGTGATGAATTTACTGATCTAGTTTTCACCCTTGTTCAGGAAAAATTCATTCAAACTAGAATAGGCACAGAGAAGGGCTACGAAGACGATGACAAAATTGAGAGTCTCTTTTGAAACAAAAAGAACATGGCTTGATTAGGTTCTTTTAGTCCTAAGATTGAGAAGGAGTATAGATGTTCTCAGGAAGGGAAAGGACTATTTAAGTGTGGGAGCAGAGCTATTTAAGATGGAGAGCAGTGTTGGCACAAAAACAAAAGGGGTAAGTTAGCCACAAATACAGGTAGGCTGGACATTGGGAAGAGGTTTCCGATCCTCAGAGGCATACAGTTCTGGAACAGAGTTCTGGTTAAGATCAGAGCAAGAGTCAAACAACCTAATTTTCAGATGGCACATGAGAGGTTTGTGAGCAGGATTCAGGGCCTGCTCTAGGTTTTTTACCGCCCCAAGCAAAAAAAAATGTGGCCATCCCCTCCCATCCCATCCCCCGCCCACTGCTGCAGGACAGGCACTGAGGAGGAAAGCGCCCCTTTCACCTTGCAGCTCTTTGACTCCCACCATGCCCTTCAGCCAAACCCAGCCTGTGTCTTGTCTCCCCTCCACACACATCCCGATCCCCCCCACCCACTCATCGAACCCAGTTTCCACCTCCTTTCCCATGCCAGGCAAACCCGACTCCTCAGTGACCGGACTCAGTCCCCTCCCTTCTTTCCCCCACCTGATCCACCCTGCGCCCTCTTCCCTCCCAGCCAAACCCGATCCCCCCCCTCCTCACTGGTCCCAGACCGCTCCCTTCTCCCACCTACACCCACTGACCG